TAGAAAATCGTGGAGGTTGTTAAAACCTGCAGACCTGTTCACAGGTTTAAATCTCAGATGTGGAGTTCAGTCTCCTAGTAGAAAAGACAATTCTCAAATATCATAGAATAACCCCTGAAGAAAATGGTGCACACATCAGATTATCACATGATTTAAGGATCCATGTTTCTTCTCCTATTTTGGGGTTTGGCTGCCGCCTGAACGTTTTAAAGTATCTACCTTTTTCCTTGGTCCAAGAAAGGAGAAAGTGGCAGGGACCAAATACCATTTATTGAAGGCTGAGAACACAGGTGTTGCAAAACACAGAAATAAATAGTGTGGAGAGGGGATTAAGAAGGAAAGTGAAAAGGAGGGAAGGGTCAGGGGAGAAGATGGCAGATAAGACCAATTCTTTCTTTCTCATCCCATCTTGGAAAGTGAGAGCACATCCTTAAGAAGTGCAGAGAAAAGTGAGAGATGGCCGTGCATTTATTCTAAGTATAGGCTGTGAAAAAAAACACAACTAATTTACTGGAGAGAAGGTCCTTTTCAATACAGTTGTATTTATAACTATTTTCTTAAAAGAAAAGTAAGCAAGGGGGTTAGATTTTTGAAGGAGTTAGGAATATATGATTTTTCAAAGGCAGCCAGCAATGAACTATGTACAGAGAGGCGTGTCCTTGTCATGGATGGGCAGCTGAAAACCTGGAGGTAGTCTTCAAGGAAACCACCCTGAGAATACAATCACCTCTAGGTTCTTTTTTGAAAAAAATTTAAGAAGATTTTATATATTTATTTTTAGAGAGGGTAAGGGAGGGTGAGAAGAGGGAAAGAAACATCAATATGTGGTTGCATCTTGCGCGCCCCCCTACTGGAAACCTGGCCTGCAAACCAGCCATGTGCCCTGACTGGGAATCAAATCAGTGACTCTTTGGTTTGCAGGCCAGCACTCAAACCACTGAGCTATACCAGCCAGGACCACCTCCAGGATCCTTTCATAAAAGTCAATAGGTACTATGAGAAAAAGCAATAAACAGGTAGATAGGCCTAGAAGCAGGAAGGAAAGGGCTATGTGCTTTAGGTATTTCTGAGTTTCAGAGATCTCATCACCAAATAGTAGACAGAACATTTATAGAGAAAACCAGATTAGAGATCTTGAGTCCTGAAGACCAAGTAACCATCAGTTGCAGAGTACCAGACACCCTAAAATAGAATGACAGCCCTTCTGGTTTCCACTCCCTCAATAATCTATCCAGTTTACTCTTAGACACATACTATATCTTATTTTGGTATGACTTGAGGTAGCTAAAATTACTCTGCAGGTTAAAGCACTAAAGTCTAGACTATCTATACTTCTAGAAGAAGTTACTAGACAATCCAAACAAAGAGCTAATAAACTTAAAATCCTTTCTCTGTGACTTAATCACAAATGGTAGTGACAGAAAGGTTCCTGGTGAAGCCCACTATGTCAATTTTATGATGGGAAAACTAAGTCTCAGAGGAGAGAAGAGACTTATCCAAGGCCACATCCCTAGTTGCCATTTTGGAATATATTATACAATTTAGAGCTGAGTGATGGTAATAATAAAAAAGAATTATATCACTTCTCCTTCAAGGTGATCAAAATGTCTATGCTAAATCCAAATATTATAAAAAATGAAGTCTATTGCTAAACAATTTAGAAAGGCGACTCTGCATTTGTGGTTTATTTTTTTCTATTGTTTGAATAAAGGTGTGATATACACTGAATTTGAAAGTTAACACTAAACAAGTGTTTGCAGGAGGGAAGCAAGGAATGTAGACAAAAGTTTAGCAAAGTGGAAGGGTTTGTTTTTTCAAACAATGGTGTTTAAGAGGGTAAACACTTGGGTTCTTACTGCATGGTATTTGACCATAATATGAGGTCTGTCCAGAAAAAATCCAGCCATTAATACAATGAGAACAATTTGTTTGGCATTAATGTAACCAACAGCCAAGGAGAGTGAACTAGAAGGCACACGCATGAACAATGATGACTTCACTGTACTAGTCAGAGGGGGTGGTAGACACTGTTGAGTGAGCATATATACTGTATGGCCACTGCATTCAAAATGATTGAGCATGTAGAGCAACGAATCTGCATCCAGTTTTGCATTAAGCTTCAACATACCTCTTAGGAAATGATTCGGATGACTCAGAAGGCCATAGCTATGGGCAATTGGTGATTGGCAGCTTCATCACTACAATGCACCAGCTCATGCATCCCATCTTGTGCAGAGATTTTTTGTGAAACATCAAAACATCCAGGTGACTCAGCCGCCCTACAGCTCAGATTTGGTGCCCTGCAACCTCTGGCTTTTCCCCAAACTAAAATCACCTTTGAAAAGGAAGAGGTTTCAAATTGTCGATGAGATCAGGAAAATACGAAGGGGCAGCTGATGGTAATTGGGAGAACTGTGTGAGGTCCCAAGGTGCCTACTTGGAAGGAGACTGAGGCAGCATTGTCCTATGTACAATGTTTCTTGTATCTTGTATCTTCAATAAGTATCTCCATTTTTCATAGTGCGTGGCTGGATACTTTCTGGACAGACCTCATCTATGTTTCTCTTAATTACTAGAATCACCTCCAAAAAATCTTATTGGTACTTTTGGTTTGAAGTGATCAAAGAGTAGTAATGTTCTGCCTGTTGGAGCTATTACATATCATAGGACATGCCAAATAACTCAGAGTAAAAGCCAACTGGGAAGTTCTGTGAACATCTTTACAACATAAATCACTAGTAACCGCACTGTCATAATAAACCCTCACATTTGTCTAGCACTTTGTCATTTACCAAGGATGTTCACATTTATCACTTCATTTGATACCCATTATAGCTCTGTGAGAGTATTTCTAACATTACAGATGAAGATATTGAGGCTTAGACAGGGTGCAATAAGTAACGGAGCTGGGCCTTTAACTTAGATATGCCTGACTCCAAAGACAAGGCCATTTACATGACATCAAGAATCCTTGTATCTTGTAGACATCTTTTGATGTTTGCCAGCCTGAAGCTCTGTTGTCTAACATGATGGCTTGTACATAGCAGAAACACAGTAAATATAGAAATGGAGCTGAAATGAAATCCACCACAGAGCTTTTCAGCTTCTTTTCATTGTGTTGACCAAGCCTATTCAAAGTTGAGGACTCTATCCAATAAGTCAATCTGTAAATTTACCATACTGCTCTCAGAAAAATTTATAGATTTATGCCTATCTATTGTAAGCAGTAGTAAAATGACCTGTGATACACAGACTCCTTTTCAAAGGGATTCACTGTAATCATGCCATAGTCTGCTTTATACTGGAGGATGTTGGCTGAGACATGAAACTAATTTTAGTATTTGGACCCAAATGTTATGAGGACTTGGTTTGCCATTAGGCTTTACCGGCATCAAAATGGGCATATAATTCATATCAGCAGATGGAAAACCAAGGCATTCTCTACCTTGAGCCCCCATCTCTTACACACAATTCACAGCTAAATAATTGAGAGTTCAGCATATCAGAAACCTCACATGGGGTCATAACATTCGTATGTAAAAACTTCCTTTTGTCAATCATTTTGGCTTCCCTTCTGCACTCCCCCACCCCAGTCTTATTACTTCCTCCCCACTACAATTGTGATTTATCTGGAGTAAGGCAAGCAAACAAGAACAAGGTTGATTTTTTTTTCAGATATTTGAGTTTCATTTGATGTGGCTGCCTGGAAAACCACTCACAGAACATCTGTGTGCGATGTCTGGGAATACTAGACACTACTTGAGATGCTTCTGTTAAAACCATCTCAAATTGAACTTGGGTCAATTTATTTGTAGTACTTTGGTCTGTTTAAGGACTATTACTGGTCTATAAGGAGGGGAGGATACAGTTACCCACATGAACACCCAGACATGGTTAGAAAACAAGTTGTTTTTTATACATATGCTCATAGGCAGACAAGATATTAAGCATGTTGCAGAAAGCCAAAGATGGACAAGTGCTTTAAATTAGCCTAGAGATGGGGAAGGGAGAGGGCAGGATTCTAGGTGATTAGGTTTTCCAGGCTGATAATGGGTAATCAGGTATGAAGGTACAGTTTTAGGCATTCAGAAATAGGTTTGTCTTTCCTCAAGTTCCATTTTGAAATCAAAGTAGGCTAATGAGCTTGCTTTTCTCATGAAAGGTGCATCTTTCTGGAAGCTACAGGCAGCACAGAGGACTCTGGCATTAAGCTGATAAAAACATGAAAAAATGAGAAATATTCTTTTGGGGGGGGGAGATATAAATGTTAGCTAAGCCTTTCTGGAATGGTGACAGTGCTCATGATAGACACTGACTAGGGAACAGAGAGCCTTATGATGGGGTAGGGTCACCCTTGAAAGAGCTGTATCTTACCTCTGTCAAGCTACTGTGCTACCAAAAAAAGCCTTTGGAAATGATCAATAGATTTGCAAAGAAAAGGAAATGATTAAAAGGCCTGTTCATCCCTAGGAGACGTGGGATAGGAAATTGGCTCTGCTTGGCAGCCTAGTCATAGGTTCCAAAGAGAAGCAGCTTCTCTTTCCAGGTGGCCAACCCTACAATATTGGCAGCAGATAACTGAAGGATATTCTTGGGTGTTCAAAGCCAGTCTGCGCCTGGGTCATCCTGCACCTGTGATTGTTCTGGATTCCTTAGTTTTCTCATTCTAGCCACTGTTTATCAACATAAGGCCAGTACCATTATGTCCTCTGGGGAAGCTTTTATGGTCAAGTCCACACTCACTCACCCTCTGATGGGTCCTGATCTCTGCTTCACATCTCCTGCTCCTATGCCTGGCCCCAGAGTGGGATATGGCATGGTTAATAATAAAGAAGGGCACCAGATGGCTGATGGTCATGTTGAATATGAAGGGGTCAGCCTCTATCTAGAGCATGGCTGGCCTCCTTGGAATGATCAAAGAGGAAAATCTAGTTTAAAGACAGAATGAGAAAATGAGAGAAGGAGAGGGAAGAGAAGAAAAAGAAATAAAAGTATCATACCTCCCAGAGTCATCCCTGCTTCATAGCATTTCCGGAGGCGACAAGATGGACAATTTTTCCTTCGGAATTTATCGATGGTGCAATCATTTCTGCTGGCACAGAGGTACTTCTGTTTTCCTGGGAGAACAAATATAAGAATATATAGCCCCGTTAACGTCTTTCCAGAGTCTCTCTCCTTAAGTATTTGTAGGCAGAAAGGGCATGAAGATACACCCTGACAGATGAGAGAAGGAACAGAGAATGGCACCAAACAATTTGATCATGCAGAATATAACTATTAAACCAAGCTGATTTAATTCAATGCTATAATGTTTACTTTTAATAGGGATGAACAATTCAGGGCCTGATAATATCTCCTTTATCAGGACTGCTGACTGGTTTTTTAAGTAAGGTGTTCTAGCTACCTTTATTAAAGCCAAGACTGCCCATGAGAAAATGATCAATGGCAGAAATTGTTACTCCTTTAGTATGACACAGTAGAGAGTTGGGCTCAGGTAATGTTTTTTTTCCTCCTGACTCCTGTAATCATGCATGGGATCATACTCAAACTAATAACATTATTTTTCATGATACAAATACAGGTAAAACTTCTATAAAAGAGAACTCCATGGGATTTCTAGTTCTTTTGAAATTCTATCTTGCAGGTTGTAAAAATCAAACAGAGATAAGGCCCACTGTTTGTGAAGGGAATCACATCAAGTGAAAGGAAGTCCTCTGAAGCTAGAACAAGAAAAATGATCACTGTCATACACACCTGGAGCTGTCACAGATACAAAGAAACATACATACACAAACACTCAGAAATCCTCAGGATCACAGCTTCTGAAAGATAAACATACAAGTTCACTTGAAAACATATTTTATTCAGTACTTTGCCTCTCTGTTCCTAACACAGGCCTGGCACATAGTACGCCCTCAATAAAAATTGATTGAACGAATGAATACACAAGTGGAATGGAGAGATCCACAAACATACAGAGTCAGCAGCAGAAATAGACAGAGATACATGCCCTGTTGCTCTACATCACAAAGAACCTCTTATGCTTGCCGCCCTGCTCCAACCTGAGCCTGAGCATCCCCTTACTCTGCCCCTTTCTTTCTTCAAGCCCCTGGTGGTTTTTCTCTCATTTACTGCTGTGCCTTCTTTAGTTTATAGGATATACTGGGATTTTAGAGATTATTCTTTTGGCAGAGGAGGATTGTCTGTGGTAAGGAAAGGAAAAAATTGAACAGTAATGGCTATTTGATAGCAGGAATCCACTCCCCACCCCCCCCACAACAAATTCAGCTACTGCTTGACTTTCCTCTCCCTTCACTTAAGCTAAAATGCATAGATAAAGCACAGAAAACATCTATTACAGTAGGTTATTTCATGTAGAAGAGTCAGTAGTAACCATGCCAGCAAAAATTTCCTTTTCCTTCTCTCCTTTTCTTCTTTCTTTCCCTCCCTTTTTTCTTTCCTCCTTCCTTTAATTTCCTTTGTCAAGTGACTCCAAAATTGTTGGGCTTGAAGGAAGTGTTAAAAATCCTCCAAGTACAGCTCTTCAATTTCAGGGATGACTTTTGAAGAGGTCATGACTTGCCTGAAGAAGAGTGAATTGGAGGTCCCTGAAGGGAACAAAACCCTACCATTTAATAGGCATCTCTTATGAAATAGCCTTATGTTAAGGGGTTTAAATATGCTATAATAATGAAGCACCTCTGCAGTACTTTGAGGTAGGAACTATCATCACCTTCATTTAACAGATCAGAAAATCTAAGTCTTCTATGCCAGTACTTGTTCTACCATACCACAGGATTTTATGAGTATAAATAGAACATAATTTATTAACAGCTTTATTTTCTCCTGCAAACTGAGGACTGTAATGTGTACACAGAAAGGATGGTGCAACGAGTGCCATTCACCTCATGGGATACCCTTACTACAAAGGTGCTGCCACAGTTCTCAAGTGTAGTTGGTTACATTGATTTAGTGAAATAGGGTCAAGTGAGGAATACTTGACTCCTTTGAGGAATCTCTACTTCCAAAGGAAAATATTAGCCACGAGATGACAGTTTTCCAAGGAATGGTTGCATGGGCAATGGAATAAGTATACCAGAGGGGTTCTAAATTCCACTTCTGAAAGTGAATCACCCTGTGAATGAGGGAGGAAACAGTGGAAAAAGAATGAAATTGTTATGTTCAATTTGGAACTCAGATAATTTCCCTAGCTATAGTTCACACCTTATTCCACAGTGTTTCTTGGTCTGGAACAAGGTGACATAAAATGCATTTATCCTTAATGATTTATCCAAAGTGCAAACATGAATGTGACCAATGCCATTGAATATTAATTTAACATTAATTTGGTCTCTATTAGGGGCCAGGCACTGTAATAAGATTTTTAAATTATATTTTCCAATTACAGTTTACCTTCCATATTATTTTATATTAGTTTCAGGTGTACAGTGTGGTGGTTAGGCAATCATATACATCACAAAGTGTTCCTCCCTATATTTCCAGTACACACCTGGCACCATACATTGTTATTACAATATTAATGAGTGTATTTCCTATGGTATACTTTACATCTGTATGAATATTTTGTGACTACCAATATGCACTTCCTAATCTCTTCACCTTTTTTACCCACCAATACCCTCTTTGTATCTATGTTTGTTTCTATTTTGTTTATTTAGCCTGTTCTTTAGAGTCCACATATAACTGAAATCATGGTACTTGTCTTTCTCTGACTTACTTCACTTAGCATAATGTCTACTCATGTTGTCACAAATGGTAAGATTTCCTTTTTTATGGCCAAAAAATAGTCCATTGTGTATATTGGTATCAATGCTTTTTTTATCCACTTGTCTATTGATAGCCACTGGGTTTGCTTCCATAGTTTGGATATTGTAAGTAATGCTGCAACAAACATAGTGGTGCATGTATTCTTTCAAATTAGTGTTGTGGGTTTCTTCAAATAAATCCCCAGAGACAGGATATCTGGGTCATAAGGCAATTCCATTTTTAATTTTTTGAGGAAACTCCACACTGTTTTCCACAGTGGCTGCACCCGTCTGCATTCCCACCAACAGTGCACAAGGGTACCCTTTCCTCCACAACCTGGCCAGCACTTGCTGTTTGTTGATTTATTAATGATAGCTATTCTGACAGGTGTGAGGTGATATCTCATTGTGGTTTTAATTTGCATCTCTCTGATAGCTAGTGAGGTTGAGCATGTTTTCACATGTCTATTGATCAATCTGTATGTCCTCTATGAATTTTTTAAATGAATTTCTTGACTGATCTAACAAGCAAAACAGATAGACTCATAGATGGAGAACAGATGACAATCATGGGGTGGGGGTTAGGGCTGGAGGGATTGAACAAGAAAAGAAAAAGGACTCATGGACATGGATAACGGTGTGATGATTGCTGGGGGAAGGAGGGTATAAGGGGACTAAATGGTAATGGAAAAATATAATGAAGATTATATCTTTAAAAATAAATAAATTGAATTTTTTTTGGTGTTGAGTTATATGGGTTTTTAAAATATATTTTGGATATTAACCCCTTATCATATGTATTGTATGACTGGCAAAAATCTTCTTTCATTTAGTCACCAGCTAGTAAGTGGCAGAAGCAGGATCAGAAGACAGGTCTGAATGAACTTCAATATTGCCCTTGTGAATACAATATCTCTTCCTAAATGGGCACCGAAACACTGTGCTTCAAAGACAGAGTCAGTGCAGAATAGTAAAAGAGCACAGAGCAGGAAGGAGGAAGACCTGAGGACCAGCCCTGCTCTCTCACCGAATCACTATGTGAACTGGTGCATATTTCTACTTCCCTTTTCACCTTGGTTCTCCCGATCTATACCTAGAAGGGAATGTGGTAGGCATGAAGAGAACAGCAGCAACCTAAGGAAAGGTAGGTTTAGAGGTCTTCTATTCATATTATAGTTTCTGTTGGAAGTCTTAAGAGTCTACTGAGTAAAACTAAAGGAAGAAAAAAGCCAGTCTGTATCTGTTTTTCCAGTCTCAACTTTTTTGACTCTAAAGGCTTCCTCTGGGGGAAAAAAACGTACCCCACTAAAAGGAGTAGCTGAGTACTTGTTTCCTGAGTGACCTGGACAGGAACAAGCTCAAGGGTTATTTTAAGGTCATATATCCTATAGATATAACTTTCTCTGTGATTCAAGCAGCCTAGAACCTCTGGTCTAATCACCCAAGGGTCTCTTCTTTGAAGAGCAATCCCAAACACTTTTGATTCTTATTAAACTTTTTCTCCCAGGATACTGCTCTTAGACCTGTGGAACAGGCTAGACAACTCTAGGCACACAGCCTGTACCCTGCCAAAGGGCAGATCTTCTGTGAGAAGGCTGTATAAAGCAGCAGAGTTCCTATGATTCCAAAAATGCGGTCATTCCTCCACTTGTCCAGTCCACCCAGAAAGACAATGGCAGTTAACTCAGTATCATGGGTGGGCCCTCAGCAAGGACCCTCAGGTGCTCTACAAGGTGGCTCCTTCGGAGTGGTTATGAAGCCATGATAATTCATGTTCCTTTTGACTTTATGATGAGCTCTAGTGAGAGGAGGCAAAAATCAAGCCCAGACTCCTTTTCTTGGCTATAGGTACTTTCCATAATCTTCCCCAAACTTCATAATATAAAAATGTAAAGAGCACTGGACTGGCAATGAGAAAAGCAGGTGTCAAATCCCAGCTCCAATTGGCCTTGGGCAAGTCAGAGCCTTGACTCCTGATCTAAACAATGAGGATAAAAATAAGGGGATTGTCTACTTCATAGAGTTATACAAAACAAATGATACAGAATGCATGTGAAAGTGATCTGTACAAGGGAAAATATTTGACACATTAAGAGAATTATGAGTGACTCAGCAATTCCATTCAAAGACACATTTCTTGCAGGGGCAGTGCTCCAAGCACAAGCAACGGCTTTTCACAGACAAGCTAAATTGGCATTGAAGAGCAAGGCTCTTGGCTTTGAGTTCAAGATGGCAGAGTAGGAAGATCCTGACTTCACAGCCTCTCACTGACACCAAAACTACAACTACATATAGAATAGCTGTCTCTGAGAATGACCTGAAGACTAGCAGAACAGATTTTCTACAACCTC